AGTCAAGGACAAATGAATCGGCCTGGATGTCTAATTGCGTTACACGAGCTAGTTTATACGAATACCACTCGGAGCCAATTTTGAGAACTTCTGGTAGCTTTATTGGCTGCCTTAGTATAACAGTTTCCACTATGTGTCGCTGAGACAGAGATAAAAGGGCGACACACAGGTCGTTCCTGCACCCTCAGTCAATGCCTGACATCAGGCACCGGGGAAAACATTAAATTAGAGGGCTCGAAGACAAAGCACGCAACGTCCGCAAAAACACGACACCTCTTCACACTCAGAAGTTATCGACGAGCCTTTCCATGTCACCGAAGATTTGTCAGGAAATGTCGCTTGGCCGTGTGACCTATTTGCCGGAAGTGATTTCTGGTATTGAACTGGTTGGCCCCCGGAGACCAAATAGCTCCGTACCACCACTTTCATAAAACTATCGTGCTTGGTCTCAAGACTCCCACTACGTCACTGCGTCATTGCGGTGTCTGGACACAACATTTGTTACGTTGAGTAACGGCTGAATTGTTAATATTTCAAGGCTTAGTTCCAACCATTTGATCTGATGGATTTCTGGCATCAGAACCCACGCTAAGCAGAGCTTGATGCGTGAGCCCTGGCCCTATCATTTGATCGTCAAATTTCAGGTCAACGGCATAATTTATGGCGAAAGTTTGACGCGGCGTAATACCCGGCACGGCCCATCCCGCCCTATGACGTCATCTGACCTTTGGCGCGGCCGGTGCTGCCGACCGCGGACCATCTCAGACAAAGGCAAAAAGCGAGCGCTGAAAGTGATCCCCACGCTCCCGAATCCAGCCCACCACGGGTAGGGGAATCGCAACACAGGCACTCTACAAAGCTGGGCGACCGGGTCGTTCAACTTCCAATACATCATGTTACTTCTAAAACAAACTTAATTCCTCGCCTCAGACGTTATTTTCCGTAGCGTTAATGAGTAATGCCAAGGCGGAGAAAAACCACGAGCCCCTCGAATTCCCTCAAAGCGCACATGTGTCGCCGCGTTAGCGTTATGTTCATCACATCGTATTTACGGGGGCGACCGGCACCCAGGCACATTAGGGGCAATTCTCCCTCTGTTAATCGCTGGCCCATCTTCCAGGGCGGGCTATTTTCGCGGCCCTTTAGTACGCGTACTGAAGGCCAAAAAATCCCATCAGAAGGGATTCGCATACGGCGCGCAGGCTCCAAATTGGCACTAAATTCAAGCACACAGAAGCGCAGCTGAAGCCTTGATAACGGCGGAGGGGAGGAGGGGGGCACACAGGGTGGACGAAGAGCCTCGCTGATGGTGAAAGACCCTCCAAAAAATCACCGGATATTGGAAAATTGATTTCGAGAGGCATGATTTTCTTCGTCTTATCTTTATCTCAACCGTCCAAAACTGGAGCAGAAACCAGAAACTGCCTTAAGATATAACTCCGTTGGTGTTTTAAACTCACTAAACTGAAGGAAACAGACGTTAACTAACTGTGTGTAATAATCTGCTGGCATAATCTGAAGGAAACAGACGTTAAATAGCTATCTGTAATAATCTGCCGGCACTACAGTTATACGATACTTCAGTGGACTCTTTCTAAACTGATGTAACTCAGAGGCTTTGTCAGGCTTTTTTTCTGGGTTCTATAAAAACGTTGATTGCCCTGCGAACGTAGATTGTATATCGAAACGGGGCCGGAAATGCATTTATATGAATATGCATTAATACGGCCAACCCATGTAGGTCTGGGAACGTACAACCTTCAAGGGTGTTGCAAGGTGCAATTTTCAAGGCATTCTGCTCCTTCGAGACTTCTCAGTCCGTGATCGCTTCATCGTTTCAAGCTCACTTTACCATCTCCTCGTCACTGACCCCTTAAACATTCTTGGAACCATTAATTTCGGGCCTTGATTTGCTCCGTCTCCCGATTGTCATGCGCGCCAAGCAAAATCAGTTGCACTGAACGCTCATATGATATTGGCAGGGGCGTCAATCGTTTAGATAAAACATAACGGTCTGTTTGAGGTACTACGCTGACAAAATACCCCTGACAAAATACTCCTGGCTAAATACTTCTGACAGAATACTCCTGACTAAATACCCCTGACTAAATGCCCCTGACTACATGACCCTGACGACACACTCTTGACTAAATACTCCTGACAAAATACTCTTGATTAAATACTCCTGACTAAACACTCCCTGCAAAATGCTCCTCGGACCACCTACTTTCATGATTTACACTCCTGACAGACGTGCTGGGTCCCTAGGCGTTAACGGTTCAGTGGGCCACTTAGAGCAGGCTCTGACTAAGAAATCGGCAATCCTTGATACTAATGTGATTACTCGTCGCGGCTGGCACTGATCGTTTCGTAACGCGCAGACATCTTATACGTCACACATTGTATAGTTTATAGTTGAAATGAAAGATGGTGCGGAGATTTAACGACCTCTCATTCAGTCTCAAGACGCGGTTGGCATTCACCGAATTTCTGAGAACCATCTGGCCAGCTTGACGGTCTCATCGAAACCTTCTCGATGATTGATTGATATGCTTGGGGATCCCTGCGTTCCCGCTTGCCCTGAGGGCATTGGGTGCTCCTTTAGATTTCTATTCAGGACCCTCTGGCTCTTGATCAGGCCGGGCGCATAAGCAGGCTGTTGGTCAGGACCTCGTACATGGATGAAAATAATGATAGTCCCGTTAATTTTTTTAAATTTTCATTTACTTTCCTTTCCCTTAGGGCATTGATAAATACAACACGATGAAAAGTAACAAACATGCCTTTTTGTTTCAAATATTTAAATTAGCCAACATCACCACCGTTTCACAAAGCCTTGTCGTGGTTGTGGCCCAAAGACTGGGCATGAATCAAGATGTACGCCGTCGACTAGAAAGGAAACCGTAGAAAAAGGAGTGGAGATTTGAGAAAAAAATGAAGGAATTGCCGGTGATCAGGATCCTAAAACCTCTCCGCACGCATACCACTATGTCTCCAGAACAGTTAGGCATTGACAAGTATGCTGGCGTGGTTGAACGCCATCCAGTGAATGGTATGTGAAAGTCACTTCTCAGGACCGAAAGATGCCTGCCGACTGCTTATGAGTTCATGCGGCCCGGACCCTGCAGAAAAAACCGCCCCCGTCGCTCTGGTGATCGGACACCGTGCCCGGCGAATGACAGACACGCGGTTGGATGTCCGAGACACCGCGCTCACGTGCGACTCGTGCCTCTTACAGCCCATCTCACGGTGCCGCGCTCGTGGCGGTGATTGGTCGCTGGTCGAGAGCCGCGCTGTGCCCTGCGCGATCCTGCCGGTGTTATACTTAGCAAGTTAAAATCATTTTGATAGCAGTGTTAACCAGACGAAAATTTCTCTCTTGTGAGGGTGGAGGTTAATACACTCGCAACAAGTCATGCTTGGCAAGAGCTGTGGCCTGATGGCGGCCGCTGAAAAAAGTTCGTAAAATGTCTGTTCTGTTTTATTACCTACCAATACCCGTGCTCACGCGCTGTAAATTACAATTGATCCCAAACATAGCGGACATTTTGATAAAGCGAGCAAGGGACCTCCAAGGAAAGCTTACGCCACTCCTCTCTTGGGGGAGTGGATAAAGTCACTCTTGATTTCAGTGCACCGACAGGCAAGACCAGGCGCTTCAAACGCTCCGTTTCCACTGCAGGGCCGATGGCATTCCGCTATCTCCCTCGACCGTTTTGTGGTATAGGGAAGCCCAGAGAGGCCTTCCGATCGCATGTGATAAGCGCATCGGAAGTGCCAAAACGCAAAGAAAGATATTTCAATTCGCGCACAAAGCGCGACTTGAAAAATCTGATACGCATGTTTTATGTTATCTGCACCCGCTGTCATGACATTTAAGGTATGGCAAGGTATGCCATGACGTTTGAGTTTAGGTGACTTAATATGGTTACTATTACATTTATATAATATATATTACATTTATGTAATATATAATATATATTACCCTATTACTGGATAACATTCTCTCTGCGACCATATGATTGTTGTGTGCATGGATTTTTCCGGGTCTCGTAAGAGATGGCGAAAATTGTTTATATGACACAACTTTTGGTGTGACATAATTGCTGACCTCTGCAGGCCACAGCTATCTTTGTTCCTGCAAATATTTGAGAGGCGAACGCGATGACATCACTATTGGCTAGCCATGGGATTTAAAAGGAAGCCAAGCAGTGCAAAACAGCTGTTGGCAAACGTTGGCAAATGCTGGGCAAAAGCTGAATGTCTTTAAGTTATAACATGACATCAAGTTCTTCAGTTACTGGCTACTCAAGACGACTAATGTTAACATCGGGTGACGTATTAAACCGTTGACGTAAAAAAGCATACTAGCTGTACATGACACGTTAACGTATCATTTACAGCTAGTATGTTTTTTAATAAAGCGTGGTGAAGAAACGCACAATTCTTCAAATTGAGCTGGCGAACTGGTGTATTTTGACACTCAACACTTCCATTAAGTTTCGGCTAACCAACTATATCTGCCCGCAGTACGCTCTTGCCAACGGGATAATGCGGCCAATTATACCATGTTTCGATATCTTTTGAGCAAAGTGGAAAGGTTCGTCATTTTCTCTGGATGTAAATATCAATTCCCTGCCAGTTCGACGCACGTCCGCTGGCTAAAATATTTCAGCATAAATCATCGGCCTTACCGGAATTGCTCCTCTTATATTTTGAGACAATGGGGACCGTCACAAAGAGCTATGCTCAGTATTCAAGTATGGTCATGGCTTATGGGCATACGCAAAATTTTATGCAGGACATTGATGCATGCGGCAAGCGATGGGAGGGGGTGGCTCAAATGAAATTTTCCTCTGAAATCCGACTTTTACGTGACCAGGGTGGATTTATCGCTTTTATTGCAGTAAAAGTGTTTTTCTGAAATATTGCGCTTTTGTCATCAGGCGCATTTGGTAGCCTTACATTATGCCGCAATGAATTGTCGCCTTCAAGTTTTAATAGCATGATCAATTTTAGGATCTAGCCGTCTTAAGTGCAGATTAGCATTCCATGCAACGTTTTTAGAACCTAAAACTGTTTGCCGGGTGCCGTCATTCGCAAGGAACAGTCGCGAGCAAAGCGCCTGAGGTTCCGTCGCGAGTCACGAACGACCCTGGGGTAAACTGGTTGCAGGTGCCGCTCCATCCGAGTTTGCTTCTGAAGGGTAAGGGTGGACGAGGTGCATTGTTTGGTGATGGCGACTGTTGCCATTAATGGGCGTTTAAACTCCAGTCAACATCATTGTCATCGTCAGTTTTCCACTTCTTCCACCGGTTATATTGTTTATCGTCCCCGGGGGCGTGCGTACGGGGTACGTGGGGTTCTAGTACAGAATGTTTCCGCAGTCCGCCGACCTTGCAAGCTTTCCACCTCTCCATCCTCCTTTATACGGCCTGGCTCTCCACTTTCCCTGCACTCAATAGCAGTGCTGGCTGCTGGATGTTGCGCATGAAGGCATTTCCTGTCTGAAGTCGTGAGTCGCCGTGGCTGGTTGTGGGGTGTGACTGTTAACTATAAATCAGTGTGTTTTTGTGACAGTCCTAACAGACTGAAGTGATACAGGTCACAGAGGCTGCACTTCCTTAATTTAGGGTCTCACTCTTATCTGAGCTTGGTAATGTGCTCTTTTATTGCTTGTTTTGCATGATTTTAAGCATGACTTATGGAATGGGGATCAGTGAACATGAGATGTTTAGGAATTAAATAGCATATATGGTAAATTAAATATGTGGTAAAGGCTAGTGTGCTTTTGACCCAGGGTACTTAATGATAATGAACATAACTGCTCATGCATTTGAAAGGTGGCATACAACTAACAAGAAAGGTGGCATAAAAAACTTGTGCTGTGTGCAAGAAAGTCTACCAAGTTTTAAATAAATTATTTTTACACATTCTAAAGGGCTTTTTATCTCAGATTTCTTTCATGTTTCTATGCCAAGGAGTGTTGAAAGTTGTATGGCAGCATGTGATATCAGTGGCAAAAGCTTTCATAGTCATTTTGTATTCACACTGAGGCTGGCAGTTTTCTGTCTTGTAGGCTGTTATGGTGTAAGTGAATGACTGGCATGTATACAAGTCTTTGTCACATTAGATGAGATCACACAAAGTCACCATTAATGGTCAAGTGAAGTCATCCAAAAATATTCGGGCAAAATACTTTGTTACACCTATTTATAATATGAAATCAGTATGATGGATTGATTTGCAGAGTAATAACTCAGGTGTAGCTTATGAATGTCTCCAACCTTTCCATCATATCCTACCAATGCCTGCAGACGTCTTGGTCACTCTACTGTACCGCCTGTCTGGGGGGGTGTCACCACCTTTCCAGGAACTGTCTAGGATGTCTGGAATGCAATGCTTTTAGGCATTTATGTTTTGTTTGTCATGCTGTCAGACATGTCCTGTATCATTGTAGATCCTGTGCAAACTGCTAGCAAAGCAATATTTTTAGGACACAAAATGGCAAATTAAGTTTGAAACAAATGGAGGAGCAGTTACTCACATAGCTGCCATAATAGGGTCACCAGCACCAGCAGAGATGGCCTAGAAAAATATTGTATTTTTTTCTATGCTTTTTGTTGACATTAACCAGGCAGTGGCGACTGATGGGTGTTCCTGCCCCATCACTGTGATTTTGATCCATTTATTTGGTGTGTGCATTTTGATGTCAACATTAGCAGAGGCACTTGTGCTCATTCTAACTCAATCATCACTGCCACATCCCTCACCAGCATTTTGGTCTGCATCACCCTTTTGAGTGGTCATTTGCCATGTAGAGAACCCTCACCAATTTCGAGCATTCTCGTCATGTGCTGTTCGCTCAGGCCCGCTCCCCACCCGGCAGATCTGAGCCGGTGCCGAAGCTGTGAGCGGCTGCCGACCTAGCGTCACGCTGGCAGCCATGGAGGCCCTGCGGCCGCATCTGGACGGGCTCCGCGCGCCCGGACCCGACTCCAAGGTCTACAAAGATCAGTGCATCTACTCGTTCGACACGCCCGAGTCGCCGGGTGGCCTGTACGTGTGCATGCGCTCGTTCCTGGGCGTGGCGCGCGACCGGCTGGAGGCGTTCAGCGCGCGCACCGGCAGCCGCGTGTTCCTGCACGTGGTGCACGTGCGCCACCCGCCGCCGCCGCCGGCCGCCGACGAGCCCGAGAAGAAGGTGACGCGGCTGGCCATCGGCGTCGAGGGCGGCTTCGACGGTGAGGCGCAGCGCGGCCGCCTGGAGCGGCGGCACGCGCTGGTGCTGGTGCCCAGGCTGCACACGCTGCCGCTACCCTGCGACGAGCTGCCGGCGGCGGCGCAGGCGGCCGTGGCCGCCGTGCTGGCGGCCGACTCGGCCAGCCGGCGCGAGGAGCTGCGGCAGGCCACCGGCACGTGGGACGGCGAGGTGCGGGTGGTCTCGCGCCATGCCGAGACGCTCCGGCAGCTGGAGAACGGCGTGCGCGTGGCGCCGCGCGGCTGGCAGTGTCAGCAGTGCGACAAGACGGACAACCTCTGGCTCAACCTGACCGACGGAGCGATCCTCTGTGGGCGAAGGTTCTTCGACGGCACGGGCGGCAACAACCACGCGGTCGAGTACTACCAGAAGACGGGCTACCCGCTGGCCGTGAAGCTGGGGACGATCAGCGCCGACGGCCGCGCCGACGTCTTCTCCTACGACGAGGACGACATGGTGCTGGACCCGCAACTGGGCCGCCACCTCGCCCACTTCGGCATCAACGTGCAGGCGATGGAGAAGACGGACAAGTCGATGGTCGAGCTGGAGATCGAGATGAACAAGCGCGTGGGCGAGTGGGCCACGATCCAGGAGGAAGGTGAGCAGCTGAAGCCGCTGTACGGGCCCGGCTACACGGGTCTGCGCAACCTGGGCAACTCGTGCTACATGAACAGCGTGATGCAGGTGATGTTCACGGTGCCGGACTTTGTCGAGCGGTACTTCGCCGGCGCCGAGGCGACGCTGGCGGCGCTCGAGCCGGCGCGCGTGCCGGACGACTTCGACGCGCAGATGTGCAAGCTGGCGCAAGGCCTGCTGTCGGGGCGGTACTCGCAGCAGCCGGAGGAGCCGGCCGCCGCCGCCGCCGGCCAGCCGGGCATCGAGCCGTTCACCTTCAAGAGCGTGGTGGGGCGCGGCCACGCGGAGTTCTCCGGCAAGCGGCAGCAGGACGCGCAGGAGTTCATCCTGCACCTCATCAACCTGGTGTCGCGCGCCTCGCGGCATCGCACCGACCCGACCGACGCGCTCCGGTTCCGCGTGGAGGAGCGCGTCGAGTGCACTGGCTCGCACCGCGTCAAGTACTCGGACCGCACCGAGTTCTTCCTGCCGCTGCATATCCCGCTGGAAGCGGCCACGAACAAGGAGGCCGTGCGCGAGTACGAGGCGCGCAAGGCGGCGGCCGGCGGCGCCGACGCCGGCCCGCCGGTGCGCGCGAACATCCCCTTCGAGGCGTGTCTGGAGGCGTTCGCCGCCGAGCGTCGCGTCGAGCAGTTCTACTCGACGGCGCTGGACGCGAAGACGACGGCGCTGCAGACGGTGCGGCTGGCCTCGTTCCCCGACTTCCTGCTGGTGCAGCTGCAGAAGTTCACCGTCGGCGACGACTGGCTGCCCAAGAAGCTGGACGTGGCGGTGGCGATGCCGGACGAGCTGGACCTGAGCTGCCTGCGCGGCGGCGGCCTGCAGCCGGGCGAGGAGCTGCTGCCGGAGCCGGCGGCGCAGCTGGCGGCCGCCGAGCCGCAGCTGGACGCCGCCGTGCTGGCGCAGCTGGCCGACATGGGCTTCCCGACAGAGGCCTGCCGCCGCGCGCTCTACAACACGCAGAACTCGGGCGTCGAAACCGCCATGAACTGGATCATGGAGCACATGACGGACGAGGACTTCGCGGCGCCGTTCGTCGTGCCGGGCACGCAGCCGGCGGCCGGCGCCTTCCGCGCCGACCCGGAGGCGGTAGCGCTGATCGTGTCGATGGGCTTCACCACCTCGCAGGCGGAGCGCGCGCTGCGCGAGACGGACAACAGCGTCGAGCGCGCCGCCGACTGGATCTTCAGCCACCAGGCCGAGCTGGGCGAGGAGCCGACGCCGGCCGGCGAGCATTACCGCGACGGCGCCGGCAAGTACCAGCTGGTCGCCTTCATTTCCCACATGGGGAGCAGCACGATGGTGGGGCACTACGTGTGCCACATCCTCAAGGACGGCCGCTGGTGCATCTTCAACGACGAGAAGGTGGCGGAGAGCCGCCGGCCCCCGCGTGAGCTCGCCTACCTCTACCTGTACCGGCGCTGCCAGTAGTACCGCCTCGCCGCCGCCGCCGCCGCCGCTCGGCGCGGCTTTCGTGCTGCTATGTGAGGGCACCCCCGCCCCGGGCTGGCATGACAGCCGCAGCCGACAAGGGGCGGATGGGCAGTCCCGTCACCGCGCTGGACGGACGCCCGCCCGGCCGGCGTCCTCGGCCTCGCGCAGACGAAGTGCACCGTTCGCAGATGATCGGACAGCGCCACGCCGACCTGTTTCGATAGCGAGGTACGGCAGCTGCCGGTTGATCTCCTGCCGGTTGAGGTGGGTGACAAGGCATCACGCCCCCGCGCGGAATTGGCATCGAGTGCTCGCGCGGAGTTGGCATCGCGTGCTCGCGCGGCGTTGGGATCGTGCGCTTGCGCCGAGTTGGCATCGCGTGCTCGCACGGCGTTGGCATCAAGCGCTCGCGCGGAGTTGGCATCGAGCGCTCGCGCGGAGTTGGCATCACGTGCTCGCGCGGCGTTGACATCAAGCGCTCGCGCGGAGTTGGCATCGAGTGCTCGCGCGGAATTGGCATCGCGTGCTCGCGCGGAGTTGAGATCGTGCGCTCGCGCGGAGTTGGGATCGCGCGCTCGCGCGGAGTTGGGATCGCGCGCTCGCGTGGCTAACTTCTCACTGCGCACGTGTGCCTCGCACGCGGCAGTTGGGTGATACACTTCTGCTCTGGTGTGCGCCGCTCTCCCGTTCTCTGCAAGTGAGAGCCGACGGACGAGTGTTCAATATACCTGCGTTCATGAGTTCGCCGGGCGTGTCGCGCAGCGGTGTCGCGGTGAGGAGCTCATGCGTCGGTGTCCTCCGCGGGGCCGGCGATCGACCGCCCTGCAAAGGCCCTCATCAATTCCGCCGACCTGGATAACGTTGCGCCAGGGCTTGCAGAAGGCAACGCGCCGGTGGCGTTTTTGTCTTTAGAGGTGACCCCAGGCTGCTCCACTTTTTCCCCCTGCCACGTCACGCGTAGTAATATGGCTCGTTTGAAGCGCTCCGTGACTTAAGCTCGGTGGCAGGCTTCTTCCGGTCGGGGCGGTGGGGGGTGGGGGGGAGGGGGGGGGGCTTCAACAACAGCGTACGGTCGGAGGAAGCACCGAGTGTCCTGTGCTTTTTGGGCGGGGGACGGTTGGTTCAGAACTCACACTAGGCGGGTCCCACGTTATCATCCGGAGAATCTTGAGCGGAGGTCGCAGGGACCGCTCACCTGCGCGAACATCGGGGAGAGCAACCGTGTAGGAAACTGGAAACCTGACTGGAAAGCAACACCGTGCAGATTTTAAAGTGATAAAAGCAGGATGGGCCCTCGGGTGGGGGGGGGGGGGGGCGGGTCTGATAGTTAAACCCTGGGGGTTCAGGCCCGATGGATGTTCTTCAGCCAGCGCACAGTTGGGAGAGTGGAAGCTGCAGCACACACGCTCCACGCTACGGGAGGGTATTTTCTTGAGACCCAGCGCAAAGGTGAGCTCCTCCCAGATGGATGACGAGTCTCCGCTCAGAACCATAAACTGACGAAGCACATGGTACCAGGTCAGTCAGTCAGTCAGTCAGTCAGCCAACCAACCAGGCAAGCAAGTCAGGCCTGCGTCACATTTGTGCTTCACCACAAACACGGCTCACGTATTCACTCGCCACCGGTAGCGCGACTCGCTCGGTTTGGCGAGAAGTGCGCCACATTTTCTTCCCGCTCGGGTTGACCGGCGGCTTCGCTCTGCCGTTCTCTTGCAGAGCCGGGCCCGGGGCCGCGGCCCTCTGTTACGTCGCAGCCGTGCCGGGCTCGCGGCCCTCTGTTGTGTCACAGCCGAGCCGGGCTCGAGGGCTTGCGGCCCTCCGTTGCGTCACAGCCGAGCCAGACTCGCAAGTTCGCGAGCTCGCGGCCCTCTGTTGCGTCACAGCCGTGCCGTGGACGTGGAAATGTATTGATCACCGTGTGACTGGCTCCAGGTCAACCCGGTGAAAGCTCTGTACCAAAGCGAATCGGAACGCCGTCTATGAACCGCGACCTGGTGCCGACACGGAAAAGCGAGGCGTCAGACAAGCGGTATATGCACTCATTATCCGAGCATTATGAGCAATGAGGGCAAACAAAGCACGTGTGTCAGGAAACTTAACAGGTTTTTAAAGCGAGCTGTTGGCAGGGAATACCGGGTTACAAACCGGTCGATTGGGGCGGAGGTGGCGCGAGGGTTTGAATAATTGATGCGTTCTGATGCGAACAGTCTTCAGTCGGGCAGTATCATCGACCCCTGGCAGGATTCGAATCGGACATTATTCGGAATCTGTCTCGGCTGCTGCGAAATAACCATCTAACGGTGCCAGGAAGGGGCACCTGCTACACACGGAACACACACACGCGCGCCCACGCGCACGCGGGCACGCGCGCACGCACTCGCGTTCATGAGCGCTCGCACTCGCATGCACCCGCATCAGACACCACGTAACTACAACGGCGGGTAAACACGAACATACATGAACGTAACATGCACCCTACATGACTAACATGTTCTCCGCCCTATGTATTCGTCGCGCTTTTTATTGCCCTACTTTGCGATTTAAACAACCAAGCTCCTACGCCTTTACCTACTGTCCAGAGCAAAAATTGTTGAGCGGCGATTCTGCGCGATTGCTCACACATCAACTTCGGACATAGCACAGACGCTCGTGACATTCATTTCGCAGCATCTTCCAGCTGCGCAGGGCACACACCAGACCACGCGAAACGCTGCCAACCAGGGTCAGCAGGCATTATTTCAGCAGGTGCGCCTCTCACACTCTCAGTGACAATATCTAGGATAAATGCTTTTAAAAACATGCTTTGCGGACAAGCATGTGGCAAAATGCCCCAAGTCTCTCCCTCATATCATTCGCTCTTTGACACCCGACACCTGTACGACCATAAGCCGAGCGTCCATTGCCCACACCGTCGCGAGGCGACACACGGTTAAACAACTCAACGCCGGCTGCCATCAGCCCCTCCCCCCCCCCCCCCCCTATGAGTATCCAACGGGAAATCTGGCCTAGACTGCCTGAGCGCGTGCGCATGATGCGTCCTTGCATGACATCCGGCGTGGAATATGCGGTCAAGAAGTGCTCGACGCACGCCTAAAAGGGCCAACGGGGATTCCCTGGAGTGATTCCAAGCATGCTGTGTGAACCGCGCGCGCGTGCACGAGCTTTGTGCGCGTAATACATCGGGTTCTGGCAGTGTCGCTTCACTTCCAGCTCTGTCGAGGGGTTTTCAAGAGGACACGCATCTTGTCACGAATGGTCGGGCGCGGCCGGGCGCGTCACGCAGTATCCAGTGAACGAGCACGCGCATGCATAAATATGGCGCTAAACCTAATTTGTACACGTTATGATACAAAACCACGAAGCCCGATGATAAGCGAATGGTAAATTCGGAAAAGGACACGTTCGGGTCTGCCTGTGATGGACTCCATCCGCGCGCATGACAGATATCAGGCTCCTTCGCATACAAACGCAAGTCGTTATGAAAATAAATATGCGTGGCATTTGTACACAATATCTGAGGACATGTACGTTAAAAGAAGCTGAGCGGGCCTCGAGACTCGTCGCGTAGAAACGTTAACCTTTATCACATTGTCGATAAGTCAAAATACAAAATCATTGCGTAGAAATGGCCAAGCCTGCAAAGAAACATGCAAGACCAGCCATCCACTAACCTCATCTCACTAGAGCGCACCACATCTCCCCCGCTCCGAGCAACACGTCGAACGGTTCCTTCCAGGCGCCAGCCGAAGCTGCAGCGCCATCTGCGTGGAACAGCACCACGCGCGACCGCTGGCGCCACCTACACCTTCGACGCCGCCGTCTTCTGCGCGCCGTCATTCCCAGCCGCCGGCGCTCGCGCGCCGTTTGCGTCCTTCGCCTGGCCGTCCAGCACGTGCACGTGCACGTCGTTGACGACCGCGGTAGACGGGCGGCGGGTGTGCACCGGCGGCAGCGGCGAGCCCCCGGCCGGCGCCGGCGGCTGGCGGCGCGGCGCCGCCGGCGTCAGCATCGACTCAGGGTCGCGCACGAGGCGGCCGCCGCTGCGCGAGCGCGCCAGCCGGCCCGTGACGTACTTGCCGAGCGAGTCCTCCTCGCGCCGCGTGATGACGCGGTTGATGAGCGTCAGCACGCCGCCGAGCACGACGAAGAACGTGCCGGTGCCGACGAGGTCGTACGCCTCGGCCTTCTCCATGTAGCCGGGAATCATGGCCGTGATGACCATGAGGAAGCCGATGACGAGGAACACCAGGCCAATGTGGAAGAGCGTGATGCCCCAGATGAGGCCGCTGGGCTGCGCCAGCGACTGTGTGGATGGTCGGCGCAGCTGCTCGGTGGCGCCCTCCAGCGAGAGGCTCGTGCCGCGCCGCTGCTGTGCCTCCAGGCGGCTGCGCTGGCGGCGCAGCGCTGCGCCCTGCACACCGCGCATCGCCGCTCAGAGGTCCGCCTGCGGACACGGGGAAAGGCTCAGAGGTCCGCCTGCGGACACAGGGAGAGGCTCAGAGGTCCGCCTGAGGATACGGGGAGAGGCTTAGAGGTCCGTCTGAGGGCACGGGGAGGGGCTCAAAGGTCTGCCAGAGGGCACGGGGAGGGGCTCAAAGGTCTGCCAGAGGGCACGGGGAGGGGCTCAAAGGTCTGCCAGAGGGCATGGGGAGAGACTCAGAGGTCCGCCTCCTGAGGATACGGGGAGAGGCTCAGAGGTCCGCCTCGGGGAGAGGCTCAGAGGTCCGCCTCCTGAGGAACGGGAGAGGCTCAGAGGTCCGCCTGAGGACACGGGGAGAGGGGCTCAAAGGTCTGCCAGAGGGCATGGGGAGAGACTCAGAGGTCCGCCTCCTGAGGATACGGGGAGAGGCTCAGAGGTCCGCCTCCTGAGGATACGGGGAGAGGCTCAGAGGTCCGTCTCCTGAGGATACGGGGAGAGGCTCAGAGGGTCCGTCTCCTGAGGATACGGGGAAGAGGGGCTCAAAGGTCTGCAGAGGGTATGGGGAGGAGGCTCAGAGGTCCGCCTCCTGAGGATACGGGGAGAGGCTCAGAGGTCCGTCTCCTGAGGATACGGGGAGAGGCTCAGAGGTCCGTCTCCTGAGGATACGGGGAGAGGGGCTCAAAGGTCTGCCAGAGGGCATGGGGAGAGGCTCAGAGGTCCGCCTCCTGAGGATACGGGGAGAGGCTCAGAGGTCCGTCTCCTGAGGATACGGGGAGAGGCTCAGAGGTCCGTCTCCTGAGGATACGGGGAGAGGCTCAGAGGTCCGTCTCCTGAGGATACGGGGAGAGGCTCAGAGGTCCGCCTCCAGAGGGCACGGGGAGAGACTCAGAGGCGCAGGGAGATGCTCATTAGCCGTTCAAATTACACTCACAGAAGAACTGTACCAACATCTCACCCGGGTAACATGATATCGCTGGCAGACTGACAAGAAAGGCTGCGCTTGTGCTCAGCCTCTCAAGATACGACTGTAAGCAGTCGATAAATAATTAAGCATGAATAGCTGTAACGAACTGAGCGAATATATTATGGAATTATTGTAAATCCATACGTTCATCCGTTCTGCCTGTCATGCAGCTTTTTCCATAAATGGATAATGAGAACCATGTGGCCGTGCTTTGGATGAGGAGCGGAGAGAGGGAAGGTGCTAGGCGGTCTTCCGCCCGTCTTAACTTTACGTTGGATGACGTCAACATGCTCAATTACCTCGCACTGAAACGCTTTAAAATCCGCGGACCACTCTTACACATTTTTTTTCTATGCCATT